TGTGGTGTAAGATGGAAGTTGTATGTTTATTCATTCGTCCCATGATGGAGTCACTTTGAGGTGGTGATTGGGACATTTCAACTGCAAGTATAATACTAGTCTTCATTAGCTGACAAGGTCCATGTCTCTTTGCAGCGCGCTGGTTTGCTACCATTGGTACATTTCAATCCACATTCAGTGTTATTCTGAGTATTAGATGTTCTTCCCTCATAGCCCACAGTCAGTATAATTAGAGTCAAACCACAGCGATTAAAACCTCAAAGTGGCCCCATCATGAGATTCATCTCCCTAATCTAAAGACTTCCTGCAATTTCTGAAAATACTTGTTTTCTGAATATCACCAGAAAGGACCCAAGTCTTCTACGAGATTCTATTTTGGATTGTTTTTGGAAGACTGACCTAGGCAAAAAAAAAAAAATCAATTGACCTGGCAATGATTTCAACATTCTGCGATTTGTCATTTGTTGCGTCCACATTTCAGTTAAGCAGTATTCCATTCTCTTTGCCCTCCACAGGAAATTAAAGATCCTCAGGTAGTGGATCATGCATTCTGGTGTAAAAACCTGCAATGAATATTAGCAACATAAAATCTTAACAGTCAGTGTCATTATTTCTACATACAGAGGGTCTTTGCACGAATTATGGGCCTATGGTGTGAGCAACACTTGCTCAGCATCATAGGCCTGCAATTAGTGCAGAGGGATATGTAGCTGGGAACATTTTCACAGGTCTTGAAGGCATAGTTTTGTTCATAAAATAAACTAAATGTAAAAAGCTATTGGTAACAAACACAACAGGAGACACTGGAATTCCAAAAACACAATCAGCCCAAAATCCTAAGAACTTGATCAAAACAGGTTGGCACAGGTTTAGCTAAAAACTTAGCCTGTGACAGGTTTACTGTAAAAAAGAGAGCAGATATACATGATAAGAAAATTACAGGTAACAGGATACTTAACTATGGTTTATGGGATTTCAAATCCAATACAGGTACCATATGTAGACATTTACAAGTCTCATAATATCATGGGTGACAAATTACTCCTTAATTTTTGTGTGAAATTTCAGTATTAATTTACAATTATAATAAATTATTACATGTACAAATTATAACAAAACTGCCATTGTAACGTTTGGAACAAAACTTCTTGAACAATAAGCAAGTCAAAAACCCATGATTGTAACCATAATTTGCCACCCAAGATATTAAAAGGTAATCAAATGGTATCCTTCTAATTTTGACAAAATGCGTGTGAAATTATTCCCTAATTTCACTTGTCACTATTTGGTTACCCATACTAATTGCTGATACATCAAGACAATATCCCCTCAATGGCACTATTCTTTATTCATGTCACAGCATGTGTAAACATGATTTATTAATCACTTTGTAACTTTGGCAAAATTTCACTTCATCAATGGTTGCTCTATAGGTGTAATTTGTAGGGTTCAGTAAATGTACCTCTAGAATCCTAGTTGGAATAATATAAATCTTAAGACAATTTCATTTAACAGGCCTGTGTAGTGCAATCAAACTCCCGTATCCAAAAATTATTCGTGGTGGTGCGGTGACTGCATGGTTAGTGCACTCACTTCCAGATTAAGCGGTTTGGCTTTGAGCCGTGGCTGGGGACATTTTGTTGTGTTCTTAGGCAAAATGATTTAATACTGTCAGCGTCTCTCTCCACCCAGGTGTAGAAATGGGCACCAGCAAATTTAATGCTGGAGGTAACCCTGTGATTGACCAGCATTCCATCCGGGGGGAGTAGAAATACTCCCATCGCTTCATGCTACAGAAGCTGTAGATACATGTAAATGCTGGCCTGACGCTTGGCTTGTATGCAGACTTCACCCTTTTACCCAATAATTAATCATGAATAACAGTACTCACAGTGCTAATCGGCCCATCAACATGGTAATCCAAGCTAAAAACATCCCAACCAGTATCTCCAGGAGAAACCTACACAAGCCCAACATGAGATTACCATAAGTATACTTTAAAAGGTGCCACATCACTGTTGTGACATTAAATGAACTCTAAGTATCTTATGTTATGGTGCAGCTTGAAACCTTTACCCTAAAATTTTTCACATTTATCATTTAGCATCTGTCTCAGTCAGAATACCTTGTTCTTGTTTGATTTATTGTTAATAGTGTTTGTTTTATCTTGGTAAACTTTTACTTGGAGGATTTCCTTGATTTGAAGGTAACTTTGTCATTCACAAAAAAACCAGTCCATATACATGCACCATGATACAGACCCTTTAAATTACAACAAAATGGCTATTTCCACTGGTCACAATTTTCCTCTGCTTAAAAATAAATGTAGGCTAAAGGCACAAGAATGATGACTATTGTCCTAAACTGGACATCCTTGAAAACAGAACGTTAGGAGATCGTAATCGGAGAGATGTCTGCTTGAATTGTTTGTGTTGCTACAAGCAGGATGGAGAGTGTCCTTGGGATATCATAGGTGTACAGTTGCATGGATTTAACCGTACTGGAGATGACCTACATTATGGATGCCATTGGCTTTTAAGTATCAGCGTTTATTGCAGTCTTGATGTTAAAAGAAAGCTGGGAGCAACTCTATCAACAGTTTCTCCAAATTATTTTTGTGATGTTTCAGCTACAATAAAAGCTCAGTCTGACTGCTCTAGCATTGAGCTACAGCAAATTAGGAGCTGGGCTTTACAGGGCTGTCAGTAAGGGAGACAAGTGTTAACCTATAGCACCTGTTACGGCTGAGCATTCTTGATGGACCCTTGTTGTTACGGGTGAACTTGGCTGTAGTTGAGACCATGAAGTGCCAAATTTGTCATGGGCGAAGATCAGGGCTACAGGTGAGTCAAAACTCAATGACAGCCCTGGACTGTATAACTACAGACTCAAATGCGGCAAAAAA